TTCCAGTTCTGCACATTCTCATTGAAGTCTGTTTTGAAGTTTTTTGTTGAAGAATGACAACTTTTAAGTCTTATTGAGTGTCCAAGGAGACTGAAGTGCTCTCCTACTGGTTTTTGAATGTTACAATTCTTCATGTCTGATTTGTGTCCATTTATTCTTTCGCATAGAGACTGTCCGGTTTGGTCAATGTACATGGCAGAGGGGCATTGCTGGCACAAAATATCACATTGGTAGATGTGCAGGTGAACAAGCCCTTGATGGTGTGGCTGATGTGGTTGGGTCCTATGATGATGTCCAGAAACCTTCTTGTCAACTGCTGGGAATGGGCCACATCCATTTTGATTGAATTGGCCTCGTTAGCACTACAAAAAGTAATTTTCCCTCTGTTGATATTCACCCCTTCTTGTCAACTGTTGGGAATAGGCTACATCCACCCCAATCAAATTGGCTACTTGGTAAGGCAACTCCCATCTTTTCATGTGCTGTATATTTATACCTGCTTATGGTATTTTCCACTCCATGCATCTGATGAAGTGGGTTATATCCCACGAAAGCTTATGCCCAAATAAATGTGTTAGTCTCTAAGGTGCTACAAGGACTCCTCCTTGTTTTTACTGATACAGGCTAACATGGCTACCCCTCTGAAACTTGCTTATATTTGTTTAGAAGTCATTTCCCCCATTCCCCGCTCATTTATAAATAATCCAGAGCAGAAGCTTGTTTCCTGAATCTGATGATAACGTCACTTACCTATTGTTTTCCCCAGAGAAGATAGACATTCCACAGAAAACCTACAAAGACGACAATACCAATCAGCATCACCATCACATGTCCTTTTATTAACTCACTCTTGTTTGGAATAACGTTGCACTGCTAAACCCGCATCCTCTCTCCTTCTCCTGTGCCTTCACTCCCCTCCTCATGGACGAACCTCAAAGTCAAGGGCATTTCAAGCATTCCCGCTAGCAATCATGATGTCCAAGTTTTCTTCACTTATTTCCTCCCACCTTGTTTTGCAGGATGACTCCACAGTCCTCTAGGGAAGAAAGACTGAAGAGGCTCTACCTCCAAATGCTTCTATAACATTATGATCTGCCAGTGTGAGTCACTACTAGTGCAATACATTACTTATTGCGCCACAAGAGCCAAGCACCTACATAGAAACAGAGGAAGATCCTCCTACAACTAGCTTTTGTACATTGCATGTCAGCAGCATCCAATGCCCCAAACGGGTAGGAATAGTCAAGATGGCAACAAGCAGACAATCTCTAATAACAGAAAAATTAACAATTTTGAGACGTTAGCAGTGAAGAAAATCTAGGTCCTAACATATCAGCCTTCAATCAGTGGAAGTACACATGACCACACGTAATAAGGCTAATTATTAACAGTAATAAATTAAGGAACAGAATCCTGTTAGAGAGTGGTCTGTAGAAACTGCCAACATTGTGATGATTAAAATGACTGATGATCAACTAGGTGTGGTGATGCCATGGGAAAAAAAAAGGAGATGGGTTTGGTTACTATATTACTAGTGACAGCCGAATTAGTCACTGTCCCTAAGCGCTTTTGTTTGGCTCAGCACTGCTTGTACAGTAGCATACTGTGCTGGTTTCTATGGAAATTCCCCACATTTGGTCTTTATTTTAATCTCCTGGTTTCCTTCTCTTTAGTTCCAGACAGTTTTGCATGCTCTGTTTTCTTATTAAGCCTGTGGGGAGTGAGGGGGAGTAAAAAATGGTTACTCATTTCTCGTAACTGTTGTTCAAGATGTGTTTGTTGTTCATGTCCATTCCAATCAGGTGTGTGCGCACGCAGGTGCACGATGGACAGAAGATTTTTCCCTTAGCAGCATCCGTCGGGCCGGCCTGGGTGCCCCCTGCAGTCACGCCTTCATGGCGCTCAATATAGAGCCCTGCTGACACGCCACCCCTTCAGTTCCTTCTTGCCGGCTACTCTGACAGAGGGGTAGGAGGGTAGATATTGGAATGGACATGAACAACACATCTCGAAGAACAACAGTTACGAGAAGTGAGTGCTTGTTCATGTCCATTCCAATCAGATGACTCCCAAGCCAAGTTCAGGAGGTGGGGGCAGAGCTGTCCACTGATTGGAGTACTGCTCTTCCGAAGGCCACATAGTCTCTGGCCTGCTGGGTAATCGCATAATGCACGGTGAAAGGGTGTATGGAGGACCACATTGCTGCTCTGCAGATTTCCTCAAAAGGCCGGTTTAGGACCAGAGGGCAGCCTGAGGATGGGTGTTGCCTCCTCCTGCCACTCCTGTTCCTCCTCCGAGAACCATCCTGTCGGTTCTGCTGATGGAATCTCGGAGGAGGTTGCGGTCGGAAGTGTCTCTGCTGTGTGGCGGGAGTGTGCAGACCCAAGGACTTGAGGGTAGCTCATAAGTCTTTCAGGCTGTGCAGCCTCTTGTCAGTCTTTTCAGAAAGAAGAGTCTCACCCTCAAATGGGAGGTCCTGAATAGTTTGCTGGACCTCATAAGGGAGCCCCGAGACTTGGAGCCAGGAGCTCCTCCTCATGGCTACCCCAGTTGCCATGACCCTAGTGGCGGCATCAGCACCGTCCAATGCAGCCTGGAGGGAAACCTGGGATATTAGCTTCCGCTCCTCCACCAAGGCCAAGAACTCGGTTCAGGAGTCCGACAGGAGGAGTTCCATAAACTTGGCCATCGCCGCACAGATGTTGTACGAGTACCTGCTGACGACGGCCTGTTGGTTAGAGATACAGAGCAGCAGACCCCCTTTCTCCCAACCAGGTCTAGACACTTAGCCTCCCTGTTTTTTGAACTATAAATGTTCGAACCCTCTGGTGGACATGAAATAACGCCTCTCATTGCACTTGGCAGTGGGCAGCAAGGAAGCTGGGGTCTGCCACAGGGTCTTGGTGGTGTCTACAATGGTTTTAGTAAGTGGAAGGGCAATACGGGAAGGTCCTGATGGTGCAAGGATGTCCACCATGGGATCAGCCTCCTCTACCACCTCCTCGGCCTTAATGCCCAGACCCTGAGTGGCCCTGCGCAGCAACTGCTGCAGCACCTGTTGTCCTCAAGCGCCGGGGCTACGGCTGTAACCGCCAATGCTTCATCCAGTGATGAAGAGGAGAAAGCTTTTATAATGAGCGGATGCTCCCTGCCATCGGCCTCCAGAGGGTCCCGAGACTCTCAGGGCAGCGCTGGTGCCAGTGGCGTGCCAGACGGTGCCGGAGCTGCAGACACCGGACCAAGAGTTGACGCCGTCATCAGTACGACGGGAGGAACCATCGATGGAGCCAGTGCCGATCCACTCACAGGTGCCGACGAAGGCAGAGGGCCCTCGGCACCGGGGCCATTGGTGCCTGCGTCGTAGTCGACGTCGACAACGGTGCCAGCATGGAAGATGACCGCAAGGACGCTGCCGAGATCGGTACTGGAGTCGACGACGGTGCCACTGTCAGAGGCATTGGGGTGTGGGTAGGCACCGAGGGCAGATGCGTAGCTGATGGTGGGACAAAGGTGGCTGAGGCCACACAATTTTTAAACCCCAAGGACCATGGCATCCCATGGCTACAGGGAGGAGGGATGGGTGGGGGAAAACCCCCAACAACTTTAATATTAAGAAGACACTATGGTAACTATATACAATGACTACAGAATGCGCTTGCTAAGCAAGGTGTAAGGAAAGTTCCAGCCAACCATCACTGGCAGTAAGAAGGAACTGAAGGGGTGGTGGGTCGTTCTATATTGAACGCCATGAAGGACCAACTCCAGGGGGTGCCCAGACTGGCCCGACGGATGCTGCTAAGGGAAAAATCTTCCATCCATCGTGCATGTGCACACACCTGATTGGAATGGACATGAACAAGCACTTGAACAACTATTACTACAAATTCTGATGCTATTACCCTTGAGAAATCGTGGGAATTACACCAAACACTGTATGCTTCACTTACTCCACACAACACACTGTGGAAAGGAAAAAACCTCAGTGGTATCTTACGTCAAAATAAACTTAAATGGCAGGCCAACTAAGTTTCTTGGACTAGCAATACACTATCATAGGACTGTATATTGTCACCCATCATTATAGTATCTGAGTGCTTTCCGCATATAATCAATAGCAAACTTCATGGAATCTCTGGCACGTCTCCTTTTATGTGGTAAAAACTCTTCTATGGGCAGTGGTTTTGGTTTACTGAGTATCACTAAAAAGGCCACATCTGCCCTGGCTAAACCCAAACAAAAGCAGTCTTAAACAGGGGAATGTATATATAAAGTTGAACTTAAAATGGATGAAAAAGTATCAGGATATAATTGCTTTGAATATTTTGGAAAGGTAATTAAAATAGGAAAATATGGTTGATATGCAGAAAAACTTCTCCCTCACCCCAGAAACTTCAAAAGGACTACCTCTTTAAACACCCATTCACAGAGGTGAATACAATGGTGCCAAAACAACCATGCTACTCTGTTAGGTAAATAACGTTCTTGTAAAGAATTGATAAATACATAAAGCATGGAACTACTTCTTAAAGTTCTACAAACAGGTTTTTAAGCAAAAAATGACATTATAGAATAGAAACAGAACAAAAGGGGGAACCTTAATTTCAGGTCTTTAGTTTTCTAGGCAACAGCACTTAGGTTTCTTTTTTTCCCAGCATAGAAATTCTCTGCTTTTTTCCAGATTGGCTAAGCACAAACCAAAATGTAGAAGCATAACATTTCTCTATAACCTCACCTTCTGCTGCTTCCTGTTACTAATTAGAAGCCTGTTTATCTAAGAAGTGATCACTTCGCAGATCACTTTTTCCACAAGCACTCTCATTTAAACAGAACTCATACACTGATACCCAAGACTTCACAGCAGTATTTAAACGAAAGAGCTGATTACCTTTTTTCATAGGTAGAGCTGAGCAGACCTCCGTCTGGTCCCTTGGGAATTATCCCCACCCATATCTGGTGTTTATCAATAACATGTGGATTTTCCAAGCAAACTGGGAAAGGACTGAGGAAACAGGAGAGAGATGATCTCTAATGTAAGAACATAAGAACGGCCATACTGTGTCAGACCAAAGGTCCAATTAGCCCAGTATCCTGACTTCCAACAGTGACCAATGCCAGGTGCCCCAGAGGGAATGAACAGAACAGGTAATCATCAAGTGATCCATCCTGTTACCGATTCCCAGCTTCTGGCAAACAGAGGCTAGGACACCATCCCTGCCCAGTCTGGCTAATACCCATTGATAGACCTATCCTCCATGAATTTATCTAGTTCTTTTTTGAACCCTGTTACAGTCTTGGCCTTCACAACATCCTCTGGCAAAGAGTTCCACAGGTTGGATGTGTGTTGTGTGAAAAAATACTTCCTTTTTTTGTTTTAAACCTGCTGCCTATTAATTTCACTTGGTGACCTCTAGTTCTTGTATTATGAGAAATAGTAGATAACACTTCCTTATTTACTTTCTCCACTCCAGTCATGATTTTATAGACCTCTATCATATCCCCTCTTAGTCTCTTTTCCAAGCCAAAAAGTCCCAGTCTTATTAATCTCTCCTTATACAGAAGCCGTTCCATACCCCTAACAATTTTTGTTGCCCTTTTCTGAACCTTTTCCAATTCCAATATATCTTTTTTGAGATGGGGCGACCACATCTGCACGCACCATGGATTTATATAGAGACAATAGGATATTTTCTGTCTTATTATCTATCCCTTTCTTAATGACTCCCAACATTCTGTTCGCTTTTTTGACTGCCCTGCACATTGAGTGGATGTTTTTAGAGAACTATCCATAATGACTCCAAGATCTCTTTCTTGAGTGGAACAGTTCATTGAGACCCATCATTTTATATTTATAGTTGGGATTATGTTTTCCAATGTGCATTACTTTGCATCCTCTTCATGCCAGTTCTAAGCCGTCATTTCATTTCCAATCCCAAGCATTCAAAAATCATGAGATAAGGCCCATGAGATTGGCTTACAAACAGTAAATAATGCCATCTAATGACTTTATTTGCACAGAAAGAAATTAACTTACATCTGCATTTCCATGGTGAAGGAGGAGAGTGGGGAGAGGGTCCCACTAGTGAGAATGATTGTCCGGACTCCTTGACGGACCAGCTCATGCATGCTGTACCCGGGGCTGAAACACCAGTAGCTCAAGACCTTTCCTGTATCAAATAGAAAATAAAACACTAAGAACCGAGGTCTGTCTATACAGTGGAGACCACGTGTCTGAGTTCCTCGTGCTGTAAACCAGAGTTTGAGGTTCTATAACTGGAGATGGGCACAAACCACAAAGCAAGAACCTAGTGCTAAGTTTTCATACCTGTTTAGGGGTGTCTGGACCTGGGGTTTGTGGCTTCAGCTTGTCTCTGAACTTAAGTCTGCCAATTCAAAGCAGGGTTGAAGGTCAACACCCATCCAAATTTCAGTAGTTTCTAATTTCAACGAGAGACTGTCGTTATCTTCATCAAACACACAGTCTACTAAGGACGATTGTGCCAGCTAGAGTAACCAAGGTTGATGGTGTTGCACCATGTATAGAGAAGTTCCCAGAACTGGTTCAATCCTATGAGTCCACAAATCTCTGGGGCATCCCCACAGGCGGCATCAGGAGGGTCAAGATGTGCACGCCCCTTCATATGTTGATGGAGAGTTTGAGAGCACAGCGTGCTAGGGTGTTTTTATCCATCCTGGCAACATGGTTGAAAAGCATGTAACATCACTTTTGAATATAATGAACACCACTTTTGAATATAAGGAGTGACTGGGCTCCTCCACAGTCTCAGGCCTTCCTTCAAACACATCACCCATTACACATACCTTAAACTAAGCCCTCCTGGTCCAAAGACAGCAATTGGTACTTCTGCAGGGGAGCTAACTGAAAGCTTCTTCCAACCCTGATCAAGCTGTGCTTCTCAAGTGAGTCACTCAGTACCCATCATTAGAGGCGGAAAATTATTTTAAAACCAATGTTTTATTCTCCGCACTCCTTCCCGCACACAGCCCTTTGGGCAAACACACCCAGGAGATACTGAAACCTTGGAAATTTATATTCAGAGACTATGAGCAAACCTCTTCACTACACACCAAAACTGGTGCAAATTAGCATGGTGGAGGCAGTCTCTAATTGGACCTGTATGTGGATAGGTCTGGGAGAGTGCCCACACAAGGTGAGTAGAGACATTCAAGCAAGGAGCACCGGTAATCCCAGATGAGGAGGATGCTGAGGGAGAGTGTGGGAGGCTCAGAGAGAGGAAACCACCCCCCCCCCCCAACTCATAAGCCCACCCCTGAAACATCCTCTCTCTCTGAACATGCAGGGGGCTTTCAGAGTGTCAATTCCATGGATTCTGGAGGAGGCAGGATTGGACCACAACAGCGAAAGCCTGTGGTTCCTCCACTGGTTGTGACTTTTTGAGCATATGGGTAGCCCAAAGCGAGAATTTAGCCCAAGGTGTTAAACTCTTTTTAGTGAGCTGAGCCAAGACAGATCCCCATAAAATCCACTGAAAAGCAGCACTTTTCAGGCATCTGACAGTATTCCTACAGACTATCCTAACAGGAGCATTACAGCACCTATGTGAGGAAATATTTGCTTTTGGCTGTTTTTGCCATCTCTAGGATTTGCATATGTTGTAAGTCTACTAACTAGCTTGTCATGAGTAATGTTTTTGTTTTGAAGAAGAGGTAAAGAAAATATTTTGTCCCTGGTAAACTGTGGAAGATTTTCATGACAATTTTGCAAGACTGATGTATACAAAACACCCAAACATAAAAAAACAAAACAAAACCAAAGCAAACTGTGCTGTTTGCTCCGCTTCCTCTTTCCCCACCCCCCCATAATGAAATTTGTCCAGGAGAATTCTTGTAATAGAAAACTAGGATTACACAATATTTGAAGAAAACAAAACGTTCAAGTTATCAGAGAACTATGCTTACATTTAGAACTGACATCACTAAAGTCAACACTTATTTCATTGAAATACTTAGAAGAGGAGGTCCAAAAACAACAGCTGAAGTGCTAGGACTACTGATATTCCTAAAAATAAGTTGGTTTTGGCCTCAAGGTGAATATTTTTACATGGAAAAAACAAACAGCTTCCATTGTTTAAGTGCCAAAATTATGAAACCAGATACCGACAAACAAAACAAGATAAACTCTTAAGGCAGGTCTACACTGGAAATGGAGGTGTAATTTCCATCTCAAGGAAACGTGTTAGCGCTAATCAAGCCAGTGCACTAAAAATAGCAGTGTAACTGCTGCGCAGGAAATGGAGGGACAGGCTAGCTACCCAGAGTACATTTCCATCTGTGATCCTAGGGACGTACTTGTCCGGCTATCCCTCCCACGGCTCATGCTGCTGAGGCTACACTTCTAATTTTAGCTCACTAGCCCTTAAACAAGCTAGTGCGGATATGTTTCCTCGAGCTGGAAATTACATTTTCCAATTTCAGCATGGATGTATCCTTAGAGAGGCCTCCAGACAACCAAATTATTTCCTTCTAGCACCGTGTACCATCTTCCACAGGAAATTTAAATACAGGGACCCTAACATAACTTCTGAACCTTAATGCTCTAACCAGAGATTGTCAAAAGGTCTGTTTTGTTTGCCCTGATTAACGGATTTTTTTTTTAAAGGGAGGTTATATCCTCACTAAATCCAACTTGGAGCAGGTTTAGTGGCTTGGGAAAAAGCCTTAAGTTCAGAGAGAAACTTGGCTTCTGAATTCGGTTTCATTCTGCAGCAGGGTTATACTGAGATGGTGCCAGATAACAGATGTAAGGAGCGGAAATAACAACAGTAGAAAACCCTATTTAATCATGAAAGGCTCAACATTTACAGTTAAGGCTGAAGCTCCACCATGGCAGTACCAGGTTGTGCTTAAGTACAGAGGTCTCACAATAGGGTTACCTAATAGAGCATATTGATGCTGTGATGCTGCTAACTGGCATGGGACCTCTAGTAAAATAAACATGGGAGGCTTAATTCGAAAGGGTAATTTTTTCAGGCACATTCCAAGAGCCTGATGATAGGTGCTTAGAATGAGACAACCAGTTACAGCACCGCAGCCGGAACTGAAAGGTTTCTACTAAGATAACAACTCAGAACATTGATAGCTACGTTACCCCTGGAATTAAAAACCCGCAGCTGGCCTGTGCCAACTGACTTGGGCTCAAGCTCAGGGGCTGTTTAACTGCAGTGTAGACATTTGGCTTGGGCTGGAGCCCAGACTAAGACCCTGTGAGGGTCCCAGAATTCAGGCTGCAGCCGAATAACATCTACACTGCAATTTAACAGCCCCTTAGTCTAAATCCACGTCACCTGGCATGTGCCAGCCGGGGAGTTTTAACCGCAGTGTAGACATATTCTATATAAACACTAACTTATTCTTAGAAAGAGTTTTACACAGAAAGAGGCCACGGTGTTGCCTTCTATTTGTTACATCAAAAATGTGTCCGCTCAGTAAGCTTGCAAACCCAGTTCTCTGTGTTTGTGCCCATGCAGAAGATGCCCCTGTAATGTGCTGCCTTTGCCACTTAGAGAAACCACAACTCTACCTGACCTGCTGTTTATAACCAGGCTTTACAAAGGAGGACAATGATTAGAATTCAGAACCTTCAAGACCCATTGAGCAGCAGTTTATGCTACAAAGACAGTTAAAAGGCAAATAACTGCACTGGCTGGCAAAGATTCCAAGGAGCCAATTAACCTCCCACCTGATTGGCTCCTGATGTTAAGTCTTACAAAACTAGTGCTGCAGTCTCAATTAACCTTTTAGTACCAGAAAAGCATGCAACAAAGAAGACTAAAGGCAAGAGGAAAATTTCAATATTTCCCCCCAACCCCCACGGGTACTTTTTCCCCTTAGGGCTAGTCAACACAGTTTTGTATGGGTATAACTATTTCAGTTAAAGGATTGATTTTTTTAAAATAGTTATACCTGTGCAACCTCTAGCAAGAACAGTGCTTTATGCCAGTATAGCTTATTGCCATTCCTATACGGGAACAGGTGTACTGGTATTAAATACCTGTGAAGGGATATAACTGTATCCACTCTAGAGGGGTTATATCAATGTAACTAATTTAATACAGTTAAAGCAATGCAATGTGTGTTCAGGCAAGCCCACAAAGTTCCTTAAGGAGCTACTCTGTTTTGCCTTCCCACCCAGCACAGCCGTTTTGACATTCAAGGAAGACTAGGTGGAGCTTCACGCACAGCCCTGCGATGGCGCTCCCTGTTGAGTGACATGAGACACTGCAGACTGAAATGCTTGCTGTACTAGCATTTTCAACCACTCGGACAGTTTCCAATATTTATTTGATTTAAGTCAGGGAAGGCCTTGTTAACTGGCTTTTGTATTAACCTCCCATCACAGCCCATTCCTGCACCTTCTTTTTTTGTTACTGATGAACTCCATAGGTCTGTCCTCTGCTTTTTTTTCTGATTACTGGTATCCATATGAATGTGCACCTGTGGAAAAAATAGGTACATGACAACATCTTCCCAAAGACTGTTGCAGAAATTAGATACATCTGCACCCCCATAAGCCTAGGTCCAGCCCTGGATAATTGAAGTTCACCAGCAGTTCTTATAATGCTTACAGTGTTTGGCATTTGCCTTTCCTCATTTCTCCTCCCCCCCCCCAAATCCAACAAGTACAGGAACACACCACCGCTCAAATTGCCATTTTGAACCAATTTGTTAGAGCAGGATTTCCTGGGTTGCATAAAGCAAAGGCAAATAATACAATTATTTAGTATGGCACTTGTTACCTCCCATTGGAATGCAGTGTACAGAATTACAAGAAGAAGATTATTAGAAGGAGATGCTGTATATAGGGCAACAAAAATATTAAGTCTTGAGAATAAAATTTCTGAGAGAAAAGACTGGCTTTTCTTCATTTGAGGTGAAAAGTGATCCTATCTCAGATGATTTCAAAATGATGAAAGCAAAGGAAAAAGCCAAAAGAAAATGTTCACATAGGTAAAGAGTTCAAAAACTACAGGACAACCTAAAAATTAGCAGTTTGGAGTTAAGGAGGAACACCAGGAGAATAATTTCAAATGCGGGGTAAACCCATGGAGTAAACTGTCAGGGAAAGTGATTGATGCTAAGAGTATGAATGATGGACATTCTTTCTGGAGAAGGAAAGGATTGGGGGGGGGGTCTGTTAAAAATGCAAGAAGGTAGGGCTAAGATCAGCCAAAAGAGGGCAGGTTTGCTGGGCTAGAATTTCTTTCCCAGCCCTACCATTTTAATGTCATACATTTCTCTACCCAAAGGGGTCTGTAGGACAGAGAATGCAGGTGGGAAAGGGGCCTGGGAGTTGCGTGCTACAATTAAAAAGTAATGCCAGACAACAGGGAGGGAAAGTATTGATGTCTGCAATCCTCAAAGTCTAAAGAAAGGAGATCTATGCTTCTAAGGATCAGACCCTTTCCAAAATACCTTCAAAGCATCTGCCAAGATTAAACACACAATTCAATTTACCAAATGCAGTAGGAACCTGGTTTATACAAACCCCTCGTCCAAAAATACCCATTAGCCAAAATTAAGAGGTGTCGTAACATTTAATATTGCATTGAAAGGTCAGTGTATCCCATTCTCCATTTATTGGAATAAATTACATTCTCTTCTTCCCTTTTGATGGACGGGGTTTTACTGTATTTAGTGTAGGAAAAGAAAAATTAAATAGTGCCATAGTTAATTCAGTTCTTTCTCACGGGAATCAAGTTTAGCACTTCCCAAATGCTATGTAGGACAGTTCATTTCAAACCTTTCCATGCACCATTTCTCACACTGTCTAATTCTTTTGGGGTTAGGGGAAGCTGACACAGTTTTACTGGTGAAGTATGTGTGTCTCTTGGTAGATAAACATGAAGAAAGAGGAGTGTCATGTTTTTAAAGCAAATGCACTTTGATGCATGGACTCCCTATGCTGGAATGAAGAGGATGAAATCCCCTCTAGGCCTTGTGAATAAAAAGGGTGTTCAGAGGACTGTAAGTGGGGCTTCAAAACTTGAGCCACCCAAGAGATTAGTTTAGGAATATATTAAGGCCTAGTCTATACTTAAAAGTTAGTTCAACATAGCTGTGGCACTCAGCGATGTAAAAAATTCAGACCCCTAGGCATCGCAGCTGTGCTGACCTAACCCCTGCTTTAGATGCAGCTAGGTTGATGGAAGAATGCTTCTGCTGACCTAGCTACCGTGGCCCGGGGAGGTGGAGTTCCTACCACAATTTTAAAAAACACCCTTCCATCAATGCAGGAAGCATCTGCAGTATGACACTACAGCAGCATAGCTATGGTGCTGCAGCTGTGCCGCTGTAGCACCCATAGTGTAGATATGGCCGAATTCTTAAACAAAAACATGTGGCATCCAAGTTTTCCCATAACTCACAATTGCAGCATCTTCATGCTTCCTAGGTTCTTAGGAGAAATTTAAGAGCTAAAAATCAGATGTTCCCTTCTTCCTGGAACTTGAGCAATGGATTCTAATCTCAAGCAGTACTCGAAGACTTGAAATCCCCTTGGCTCCTGCCTGTAGGATTTATACATCCTCATCTCCTGGAATTCAACAACATACTTTGATGTTACACTGCCCACTCCCACTGATTTCTGCACTGTCTGCTCTTGACTACAACAGCCCATCCACGAAACACCAGAAAGGAAGAGAAAGTGCCAAAACACATCAAGCATCCCATACCTTATAATACTTGGATATTGATTGAACTGGCATGGAGCTGGATGTGCCTTCTGGAGGATCAATGCTAAAAACAATCTAAGAAACAGATGGATAAAGCACAGAAAATTTTAACAGATGCCTCCAGCAAAATCAGTAACGTGTCACAAACAATTATGCAAAATGATTGCTGCTGCAATAACTTTAAAATATATCTTGCAGTATTTGTTTTTTATACTCAGGTGCTGTAATTCTGTTCACAAAAATAGACGCAATGGTGAAAGTATCTTTGACAATCAGGACAAATATGTTTAAATACTAGCAAACCTTTTTAGGTTCCCACATGGACTTCTTCACTGTGAGTTGAAAGTACCGGTGACACTATTAAGTAGAGGGGAAAAGTATTAAAATGTATAATTAGAACCTAAAAGGGTTTGCTAGTATTTAAACAAATTTGTCTTGATTGTCAGAGATACTTTCACCATTATATCTATTTTTACGAACAGAATTACAGCACCAGAGTACATAAAACAAATATTTGCAAGCACAAATGGATAGTTACAGAACTAGTGAGCCATCTGTGTGAACAAATACCAAATTTACGCAAGCAACACAAGTAACAGTGCATGTGTAAAGTGTAGATAATATTTAGTCCTGCATCAGTGCAGGGGACTGGACTAGATGACCTATGGAGGTCCTTTCCAGTCCCACATTTCTATGATTCTATGTTCTACACAATTAAACAGGATTTTGATTAATTTTATGATGAGTAGAAACACTCTAAAAGTACACAAGCTGGCAATGATGCAGGCTACAGCCAAGTTTCTTGAGACATTTAAAAGGCATTAACAGTACACATGAAAATACAGTTCATAGTAAAAGGAAGATGTTTCCCATTATAGTGAAGAAACAATAAAAGCAGCATTCTTGGAAAGCGTAACTGATGAAAATTAACCTTAGTGTGGCCAAAAGGAGTTTTAGCAAATGTCTTTACAAAAAATTTCCCAACAAACAAAAACAAACACATGATAAATTGAAAAGTTATACCCCTGAAAATAGGGTCGTATAACAAGGAAGCTGATTGGGCCACAAGTGGCCAGCAGGTTGAGAACCACTGGTCCAATCTTTGCCATGCAAGAGAAAGGGTTAATACGTTAATTCTGCTCTTTCAAGTGACCTCCGGAGGGGTGTTTTCTGTAATGTGCTTTTGGATGTTTGCTTTCTGGCAGCACAGCTGACCGCAGCAGGACCAGTAAACAATGGCTACTGGGAGGAGGAAAGGCTAATTCCTTTTAGGGTAAGAGAGGAGAATCAATTGGTGGAAGAGGGAGGAAAGATGCTGTGATGAATGAGCTGCCTATTCTGCTGTACGAAACTAGTTACTTTTTCTTAGAAAAATACAGAATAGAAAACAAGATCATCCCTTCCTGTCAAATTCCAACTCTAGAAGAAGGAGGAGAGTTTATTCAGCTGCCAAAGCATGCAATTCTTGATGGAAAAACTAATAAACAGTTATTGGGAAATTCACTATTACCGCTTATCATGTTTCCAAGAATCACCATTGAAGTGAAGTCACATTAACTACTTGAATGCTGCCAAATGTTCCAAGTACAGGTGACAAAATGCATTTCAGGTACATCACTTGGAAACATCAACATTTCAGGTTTAAGAGTGGTAGCTGTGTTAGTCTGTATCAGCAAAAACAAGGAGTCCTTGTGGCACCTTAAAGACTAACAAATTTATTTGGGTATGTAATCAGGCGTGCACTCACCGCTGCGGCCCCTCCTGCTGGTCATCTCGGAAATTAGCTCACCCAGCATCCGGAGCGCCCTCTGCAGGCCAGGTGTCCTGCCTTTCATTGGCCCGTGTCCCTCCCGGATCCCGGTGCCCTTGGCTTGGGTGCTGCTCCCCTGGCAGTACCCCACTCTCTCTCTGGGTCTCCCCACCCAGGGGACCCCCCACCCCTTATTCCACTCAGTTATGGCTACTGCCAGTCACCATCTAGCCGCATGCTCAGGGGCAGACTGCCGTCTATCAGCCAATCATCACAGGCAACAAGGGGTTAGGTCTGGCTGCCTTTACCCACCCTCAGGTTGCCCCTCTGCAACCCCAATACCTATATGGGCCTAGGACCAGGCCCTGCAGCCTGGGGAGTTGCTGGCCTCGGGCTTCCCTGCCCCCAAGGCCTTTCCCCAGCCCTGCCTCACTCTAGGTCCCCGGTGAGTTCACTGCAGCCAGGCCTGTCTCTCTCTCCTGTCAGAGGGAGACTCCTCCGCTTCTGCCTGCCCTGGCCTTCTTATGAGGCTGAGTGGCTCAACTTGGGGCATGGCCCCAGCTGCAGCCACTTCCCCAATCAGCCAGGGTTTTGCTTCTTTACACCGCCCCAGCCCACGGCAGGGCTTTTCCAACCCCTGCAGGGCTGGAGCGGGTGTTCACCCCGCTACAGGGCATAAGCTTTCGTGGGCTAAAACCCACTTCATCAGATGCGTGGAGTGGAAAATACAGTAGAGAGGTGTAAATACACAGCATATGAAAAGATGGGAGTTGCATTACGAAGTAGGGGGTCATATATCACATTGGTAGATGTGCAGGTGAATGCCACACCATCAGTGGCTCATTCACTTGCACATCTACCAATGTGATATATGCCATCATGTGCCAGCAATGCCCCTCTGCCATGTACATTGGCCAAACCGGACAATCTCTAAGCAAAAGAATAAATGGACATAAGTCTGACATCAAGAATTATAACATTCAAAAACCAGTAGGAGAACACTTCAAGCTCCCTGGACATTCAATAACAGACTTAAAAGTGGCAATTCTTCAACAACAAAAACTTCAAAAACAGACTCCAATGAGAAACTGCAGAACTGGAATTAATTTGCAAACTGGACACCACCAAATTAGGCCTGAATAAAGACTGGGAATGGATGGGTCACTACAAAAACTAATTCCCCCCTGCTGATACTCACACCTTCTTGTCAACTGTTTGAAATGGGCCACCTTGATTACGTTGGCCTCATTAGCACTACAGAAGTGATTTCCACCCCCTCTTGTCAACTGTTGAGAATAGCCCACTTCCACCTTAATTGAATTGGCTCGTTAGCACTGACCCCCACTTGGTATGGCAACTCCCACCTTTTCATATTCTGTGTATTTATACCTCCCTACTGTATTTTCCACTCCATGCTTCTGATGAAGTGGGTTTTAGCCCACGAAAGCTTATGCCCAAATAAATGTGTTAGCAACATTGCAGTACAACATCAGGGCTTCAAAGGAATGCAACCATATTCCACTGAGCAAGAAGTTTAAGAGCAAAGTATCTGGTGTAATTATAGGGAATGCTGGAGCCTACAAAATGTAACATTATTCCCAGTAAAGAGGAAAGTAAGTAACAGTCATATAAAGTCTTTGGCAAGAAGGGAGACTGCAGACTGACATATATTGTCCTCCCTAGATTTAAAATATAACTTCTGGTACTGTATACAGACAGAAAATACAGGAGAGGCCATTTGAATTAGAAGGCTATTAACATATTAAGGTGCTTTGGTAATTAAAAAGCACATAAGAAGAGTGGTTTATGCTGTTACCAAACGCAGAGCAGTGCATACAGTTATCCAGTTCCGTTTTCAGATAAAGTGAATTTCACAGAATTTGCTGAATGTTTATTGTCCCCCATGCTACTCCCCCGACAGCTAGCTCTCTCCTATCCCCCTCCTGCCTGTCTTTATTAGTACACCTCTACCCCGATATTACGCGACCCGATATAACATGAATTCAGATATAACGCAGTAAAGCAGTGCTCGGGGGGGAGGGGCTGCGCACTCTGGCGGATCAAAGCAAGTTCAATATAACGTGGTAAGATTTTTTGGCTCCCGAGGATAGCGTTATATTGCGATAGAGGTGCAGTTCTGGCACTTTTGCGCTTCCTACAATTTAGTTTACATTTACAAGCAGCATCTTCTCCCAGAAAAGAGTCTGTGTGGCACATGCTTTCTGAGTAAAAAGAGTGAAAGTTAACTGCTGCGGGGGACTACTAGCCACTAGGAAAAGTTCATAGAGCTACAGTGAATAGAGGGAGTCAGGGGGTCACAACCAACTACAGCAGTCCTCAGGGTCATTGGAGTGGAAGGTGGGAGTAGGCCAATTACTGACTATACAGGGTCACTGGTTTCATTTATTTTTCGTTTAGTTTAAGTGTCATTCATCAATCTGAATTTATTTCTTGCATCTCTATCTGGATGTCCAAATGTTTACACTGAATTTCTCAGTGATTTCTATATATTAAACAATAGAGCAATCAATGAGCAAGAACAAAGCAGCAAGACACGTATACAAATCTTTATAATGATTATCACCACCTCTCTGTGAAAGGCCAGAGGAAAATCTGTTCTGATCCAAAAAGGAAAAGGAAAAGTTGGGAGAGTGCTCAGTCAAATTTCACTATCAGCTTTCAGGGAAAGTTCCAATTAAATTTGACATACGGTGACGCAATCGAGGAGACTGCCCTGAAATCAAAGTCTGGAAACAAAGTGACCCCACCTGAAATGTCAGCAACTGTTCCAAAATGAAAGCATTACAGTTATGCTAGTATTCAGTTTGACCTCTCGGCTCTCCAAACGTCATTGTGTACTTCGTTGATATAGCTCAGAACAAGAGTGTTGGCCAAATTAAGAGGTCAGCTAGGATATGAACTTCAGTTCACCAGTCCATAGTATCCTCTAAGCTCCTTGCAACCACTTCCTTCCTCAAAGGCATATTTATATTTTCTAGTCCTGCAACAGGAGGGAGATTGCGCTAGTGCAGTGTACTTAACCATGTTCTTCTGATGTATTATTGGGCTGCAGCTGTAACACATTGTATAGGTGTCCTATTTTAAAAGTTCCTTACATTCAATAAATAAATCAAAAGAACAAAGTTAAGATGATCTAGATTTTTCCCTCAACTGCAGCTTACTCTTTCATGGGAATATCTCTTCTAATCAAATACTGCTGGCTGAACATGCTATTTGCACAACTCAACGATCCAGCTCCTCCTGGTGGAGGTTAGAAACAACTGAATCATACTTTAATCAGACACCTCTAAAAGGAACTTTATACACCTCTACCCCGATATAATGCTGTCCTCGGGAGCCAAAAAAAATCTTACCACGTTATAGGTGAAACTTGCTTTGATCCGCCGGAGTGCGCAGCTCCGTTGCCCCAGAACACTGCTTTACCGCATCCGAATTTGTGTTATATGGGGTTGCGTTATATCGGGGTAGAGGTGTACATATAGAATCATAGAATATCAGGGTTGGAAGGGACCTCAGGAGGTCATCTAGTCCAACCCCCTGCTCAAAGCAGGACTAATCCCCAGACAGATTTCTGCCCCAGATTCCTAAATAGCCCCCTCAAGGATTGAGCTCACAACCCTGGGTTTAGCAGGCCAATGCTCAAACCACTGAGCTATATATAAGAACAACCGTACTGGGTCAGACCAAAGGTCCATCTAGCCCAGTATCCTGTCTGCCGACAGTGGCCAATGCCAGGTGCCCCAGAGGGAGTGAACCTAACAGGTAATGATCAAGTGATCTCTCTCCTGCCATCCATCTCCACCCTCTGACAAACAGAGGCTAGGGACACCATTCCTTACCCATCCTGGCTAAAGCCATTAATGGACTTAACCTCCATGAATTTATCCAGTTGTCTTTTAAACACTGTCAAAGTCTTAGCCTTCACAACCTCCTCAGGCAAGGAGTTCCACAAGTTGATTGTGCGCTGTGAGAAGAACTTCCTTTTATTTGTTTTAAACCGGATGCCCATTAATTTCATTTGGTGGCCCCTAGTTCTTGTATTATGGGAATAAGTAAATAACTTTTCCTTATCTACTTTCTCCACATCACTCATGATTTTATATACCTCTATCATAGCCCCCCTTAGTCTCTTTTCCAAGCTGAAAAGTCCTAGCCTCTTTAATCTCTCCTCATATGGGACCCGTTCCAAACCTCTAATAATTTTAGTTGCCCTTCTCTGAACTTTTCTAGTGCCAGTATAACATATGAATGTTTAAGATTGCCTCTCCCCATCTCATCATAGTGCAGAGAAATATCAACAGATTTTCACTTTCCCTTATTTCCTACTATGTCAAATATCAGAAGTACACAGCTACTTAACTCTTTTATAGCTGGCTTCTGAATGCCACAAATCAGTTCTGTATTTCCTGTAAATGAACTTTCAGTCCACAAGATGCCAAGCAAGTCTGGTCCTGGAAGTTAAGCAATGAAACTCACAAAGAGGTTTCCTTTAGAGACTATGCTCTGTGCTCAAAAGGAAATTCAGAATAGTGTTGATTTAGATGTTTTTTTAAGTAGATCCTCACCCGTATTCCATATGGCCCACTGATTTACATAGATAGAACCTATTTCTCAATAGAGAAAACTAACCAGAACAGTTATTTTCACACCTTAATGCTTACAGTGAAAGGCATGAAATCTCTGCCGAAACACACTACCAAACTACAAGCCACATGGAGGCAGCTCTGTTTGAGTCTATAGTCAGGTAGAAATTCTTCCCTCAATAGCATGTCAACTCCCATCAATGTTTAAGAGCTAAACAGACACACTTCAAAGAGAAAAAAAAAGACTCCTTTGGTGTCTTTCCACATCCTCCACTACCTTTTCAATCTTTTAGAATTATAATGAATCAGCAGCACAGAATTATTTACCTGAATAATGTCTGAAAGTTTATGTAATCCAGCTGTGTTGGTAAATATCCCAGTACCTACAGAGGACAGTATATTAACTTTTTATGTAGACAAATGCACATATGTATATACACCCATACCTGAGCGTGCACAAACACACATAAATATGCACTGCACACATCCACATCTCACTCACTACCACAATGATTATTAATAAAGTGGCTTAAAAACATCATTGGATAACAAAAAAATAAATGAAACCAGCACATTGCCAGCACAGTTTGGTGTGCAAGAAGAGCATGACTTGATTTCATAGTATTTTGTCCCATCTCCACTGAGAAGCTGTAATGTAAATTAGCTTTCATACCCCTCACATACATTAATAATCAATGACAAAATCTCAATGGAGGTTCTCTAAACTGAGAGGCTGGATACTAGCTGTTTATAAGATATTTCAAAAGGGAACTTTATGCCATTTCCCTTCTAGGAGTAGTAAGGCTTCCTGCCCCTTTACAGGCCCCTGACCACCTCCCACTGAGTATTATTGCCCAGTTAAGAAGGTAGCATATACAGTTCTGCAAACTCGCTTTCCTGATAGCAGTGAAGCACTTTGAGAGATCCTGCAGACTATGCACGTAAACAGGCATTTGAGAATAAACAATTTTCAAATTGTCAGTTTTCCACTTGCTGAAACTATGACAGAGGTGAGTGGGTGGACACTTAACTGCCTTTTCACAAGCCTATGGCACAATTAATGTTGCTCCCATGCAAAGAGAATACAGGAAGAACATTATGTGAATAGCGCTCATTCTCCCTTTCTCATTTATGCCCTCGAAGTATGGAAGCTTCCATTTGCTGTCATCTATAACTTACAGAACTATACATAGTAGCCATGGTGACAGGCTTACACTTACGGCCTGATAGAAATTGTTCAATCTGTTCCAGCGACTCCAGGAGGGAGGTTTTGGTTTGGAATGTGATCTGGGCCTCTGCAAACAGATCAAAGATGTAGCTGCAATTCAAGAACAAAAATACAATTGGACAGACTTTGCAAATAACCCTACATTTAATAACAGCAATACCTTGCCCTTGTAGTTCACTGTATTCCCTTCTCCATAAACAATAAGGGTAAATAAAAGTAGTAACTACTTTGTTACAAGATTAACTGAGATAATGCTGGGATATTTTTTTTTGAAAGCCCAATGACCTTCACCACCACATCATCTGCAATTACTTTTCATGCACACCTTATTACAACACACAATTTCCTTTGGTTTATACACAGTTCTGTAGAGCATGAAATACCTCAACCAGAACATAGTTACACTGGTACCTTAATATGAATCAGTATTTCACAAGCCAGCATTTGTCAGAAACAACTAAAGACCATCATCCAGTTCAACATACCCTATTATTCACCCACACACTCCATGCCAGACCTTCCAAACTTTAACTTACTATTTTTATAGGAGCTGCAGTTTCCAGCTTACAACATGGTTGGACCTTGCCGTTACTAAATAGTGAGAGGCTAAACAGCAAAATCCCAATCACAGTAGGATAATACTGTATTCAAAGCATCATATAATAAACAAACTACTCGCTATTCCTAAAGGCATGGGGTCAACTGATTTAGGGTCACATTTGATAGATTTCATAATTAGTATAATCTGAGGCTGAAATGCTCTTCAGAGTTTAAAAACATAACAAATTACTGAAATACCATGAAAGTAAGCAAGTACAATGGGAAATATTTTTATGGGGACCCACTGAATAACGTTACATAATAAAAGCTGGTTCCCAGAGCAAGAGCACTATTACTAATGTTAACAGCTAGTATACCTATTGCTACTTGCTGTCCCAGAGGCTTCCTAGTTCAGAGCATGGTGTTACTTTCAAATGGAACTTTGAAGGAGAAAGTCACATTGGAGACAGTCTCATTAGGCCAGAAGTCTCTTCTCCTAACAAACAGTCACACTAATGAGGAGGATAATACAATCTCAGAGCACCAATTGGCACCTACCTCCCTTCTTTAGTGACTCCATTTCCATTAGCTGGCAGCTGCACAGCATCAATAGCATTTTCCAGTTGAAGAAGAATTCCTTTAAGGCAATCAAAGGAGAAAATAGTTCAATTTATAGTAAATGAAAAATTCAGAACTCATCTAAATGAGCTCTTTCGAATGGCCTTTGTTACAAAGATAGTCACCTAGTTACTCCCCCTAAACCTAGCTATTATCTTGTTTGTGTAACCAATCTGATACTTTAAAAACTGCTGAAATATAAATTTTAAGTTAATTCAAATGTTTAATTTTTAAAACTTCTAAACATTTATACTGCCTTATAGTTATAGAGCACCTATCATCCAAAAGCCCTTTGTAAGCATTAATTAAGCCTCACAACATCCCTGTGAGATATAATCTATGTAGGAGAGTAGAATATATGTACGTTTGCCTATTTCCTTCCATTTACAAGGGATTCTCACATCTAAGAATTTGCTACTATGCGAGATTTTAATAAATACACAATCTTTCACTCACTTTGACACCTTTGCAAATTTATCTCACTAAGGACCTCTTTAATTCAGTGGTAGGTCACCATTTTGTATAGCTAAGCCTAGGAGATGAGGGTTATGCAACCATGGGAGAAACAAGGTAAGAGAAACAAGGCATAATAATACCTAGCTCTTCTATAGCACTTTTTATCAGTGAATCTCAAAGCACCTTACAAAGGAGGTCAATATCCACATTTTACAGATGGGGAAACTGAGGCATGTGAGGTAACTTGCAGAAGGTAACCCCGCAGGCCAGTGGCAGAGCCAGGAATAGAACTCAGGTCTCTCCAGAGTCTCACTCCAGTGCTCTATCCATTGACCCATACTGCCTGTTCATAACAGTGAACTTCATACTGAGGACATCCAATTACACAGTAAACTGAGATTTTACATGCCACTTTATTCTATGACTCTCTGAACTACCATTGCTGATCTCCTGCTGGCTTATTAGAAGGAAGTATTCTGATTAAGTGAGAGCCCCACGAACAGGCAAAAACAGCAATATGAACAGCTCATCCAAACAGTTGAAATATTGTCTAGGTCATGCTGAGTAATTTCTGTGATTAATTTGAAGCTGTAGGACGGAACTGTGGAACTAAGCATTTGAAAATATTTATTGGCAGCAAGAATATTCAAAATCCCCCATTTAACACAGCCTTGGACCACTTTGGTAATGTATGGGACACTGAAGTTTTCTGGCCTGCTGAGTTTAAAAACTTTATCAGGATTTCCATTGTACTTACTTCCTAACGCCATAACCCAGGATTACAGATCTCAAACTCACCTCGCACTGCCCAGCAACACGAGCAATTAGAAGACAGATCATTGTTGCAGGGGTTACAAATTAACCATTTTTCCTCAAACACTGTGAAAGTGTTCCCAGAATCAAGGTGCTATTGGATCAATTTTCAAAAAGCTGCTCTGTTATTGCCCGCAAAGTTCTTTTCTATTCCAAAATGTATTCTTTTTTTGGTGGGATGAAAAAGGTTATTTAAGGTCAAACTCTCTAGTACAAATTCAGCTGTTGGCTGGCAGAATTGTCGTTGCAGCAGAGTGGTACAACCAATGCTCCACCAAAAGAGAGATGGATTACAAAATTTGGAAAGTCCTTGCAATGGTGAAAATGACTAGCTGTAGGAGGCATTCTTCTCCCAGCTATACAAACCTCTCACCTATGCTGAAAAAGGCTGAATGCTCAAAGGACCAGAACACTTGACAAAATTTCTAAAATAAATAGAAGACCCTCCCCTATGAAGCTTTCAACTATGTGCCTGACAGATGTCAAAGGGTGCCATAGAAAGGCTGCATGAGGTTGATTTACCATAATTTCCCAGAGCACCTTTTTTTCCCTATTGTATCAATAGCAATTTTGTTGAGATAAGTTAACACCACAGAAATGGTACTTACTCTTTATCTTTGCTATATCTTCAAGCTCCATGCTCAGCCCTGTTTGAGAAGAAAAAACAATTCACTCCTAATCGCACAGGGATTAGATGAAGTGTTCAGCATTTGAGGCAACTGTTTCTTAACTTAATCCCAACTTTCTCACAATTTTTCGTTTCTCCAAGAGAGACTATTGTTGCCAACTGCCTTTCTGGATATTACAGTTTTTGAAGGCTATACTCAAGTGTTCATACAACTACATATTTTGTATTCTATTCACTTTTCTCCTCCTTGATTCCTTATCTCATGTTAAAAGGTTTGGCTAAAACTTGATGTGCTTGGTTACCACAGGTTAGGAGAACAGCAACAATATTGGCCAAGTAGAAAGTTTGATCTATCCACCACCCAGATTTGACCTTACAGGGACTGACTAAGGGAAAAAGTTATTTTCCAAATTTGTTGACAAAGCCACCCCCCACATCCCTTGCAAACCATTAGTTCCCAGCTATCAACACACCTGAGCTGGCAAACTCCATATTGAATTCAGCATGGATTTCATTTTGTTGAACTACTTTGGCTTGTTCTTCCAGTACCACATTTATAGCATCCATGGCTGAAGCCAAGTCGTAGGGAGTCAAGTCAAAAGACGACGACTCTTCACACAATTTCTCCTGAAATTCCAAGAAAATACAGAATTTATTGTTATTTGGATTCTGGTATTGCCCTGGGTGTGCTGGGCACTTCAAAGATTGTAAGGTCAGAAGGAACCATTGTGATCATCTAGTCTAACCTCATATACAACAGAGGCCATAATACTTCCCTGAATTAATTCACATTTGAAATAGAGCATAGCTTTCAGAAACACATCCAGTCTAGATTTAAGTTTCCAGTGACAAAGAATCCATCACTACCCCTGGTAAATTGTTCCAATGGTTAATTATACTCACTGTTAAAAACTGCTACTTATTTCCAGTCCTAGGCCATGTCTACACTTACCGATAGATAGGAGCTGCTGTGTCGATTCAGCGGGTCTGCTGAAGATTCGCTAAGTTGATGGCAGAGCACTCTCCCGTTGATTCCGGTACTCCAGCTCCCCGAGAAGAGTAAGTCGGAAGGAGACCATCTCCCATCGACACAGCGCAGGGTAGGCACCATGGTAAGTCGACCTAAGCTACGTTGACTTCAGTTACATTATTTATGTAACTGAAGTAGCATAACTTATGTCGACTTACCGCGGTAGTGTAGACAAGGCCTATATTTGTCTAGCTTCAACTTCCAACCACTGGATCTTGTTATAACTTTGTCTACTAGACTGAAGAAACCTCTATTATCAAATTTCCAGTCCCAATGTATGCACTTATAGGTAACTTTATTCTTCTCTCTAATAACTAAATAGATTAAACTCCCGGAGTCTCTCACTATAAGGCATATTTTCCAACCCTTTAATCATTCTTGTGGCTCTTCTCTGAACTCCAATTTTTCAACATCCTTCCACCTTTCAGAGTCACTGCTTCCCAGGATAGATTCCCCAAACATGAAATTGTGGCCTACATTTTTTGTTCCTAGATGTATCTAGTACTAGGGATGTATAACTTTGCATTTGGCCATATTAAAACAAACATTGTTTGCTTGCACCCAGCTTACCAAATGATCTGAATCACTCTGTATTAGGGACCTGTCTTCTTTATTATTTACAATTCCCTCAAACTTTGTCTCATCTGCAAACTTTATCAGTCATGATTTTGTGTTTTTTTCCAGGTCATTGATAAAAATATGAAATAGCAGAGATCCAAGAATGAATCCCTGCAGGACCCCACTAGAAACCCACATGCCTGATGATGATTCCCTATTTACAATTACATTTTGGGACCTGTCCACTAGTTTTTAAATCATTTTTATGTGTGCTATTTGATTTTGGATAATTAAGTTCTTAATCAAAATGTTCTGTGTTACCAAGTTAAATGCCTTACAGAAGTCTAAATATATTACATCACTTCTATTACCAATTTGTAATCTCATCAAAGAAAGGTACCAGGTTAGTTTGAGAAGATCTATTTTCCATAGACCCATGCTGATTGGCAGTAATTATATTACCCTCCTTTAATTCTTTATTGAGTCCTGTATCAGCCTTTCTATTACTTTGCCTGGGACTGATAACAGGCCTATAATTACCCGGTCATCATTTTCATACTTTCTAAATATTAGCACAACATTAGTTTTCTTCCAGTCTTCTGAAACTTCCCCAGTGTTCCAAGAGTTATTGAAAATCAACATTAATGATCCCACAGAGCTCCGCAGTCAGCTCCTTTAAAACACCTGAATGCAATTCCTCTGTACTTCTCTAATACTGAATTCCCCTATGTGGGATGCAACACGTTTTGAATTAGCAAATTGTCATCTATAATATTTACAAGTTCTGAGGACATTTTAGTACTGGCTGCACAGGAACCCCAGCATGTCATTCAGATTTAAATCCTCCATGATAATGCAATTTTTTCCTATGCATTATAGTTAGGCACTCGAGGAGATGGTCATCCTATTCCTTAGGGTGATAGGGTGGTCTGCAGCAGACCCCAATTAGTACTAGGGATGTAAAATTGTAAATGGTTAACTGGTAAGCATTAGTCTTACCGTTAACCCCCAGCCCTGGGCTGGCCAGAGCAGCCCCAGTCCCTCTCCCTTTAATCGATTAACTGGTTAAACAATGTAATTTTAATCATTTAAATGGTTAACTTTTTAAACTATATTTACATCCCTAATTAGTACCCCATCTTGTGCTATATCTGTTAGGACACTGATACGTAAGCATTCAAGACAATTTGCTTCTGACTTGTCAGTGACTCAAACACAATGCCATTTCTGACACCATACCACTACTCTTCCCCTTTTGCCCACTCAAACCTTTTAAATAGCTTAAAGCCACTGACGTAGCATTCCAATCATGCAAACCATCCCACCCAGTTCCAGTAGTACCTGGAGTTGAATTTATGCTCAAATAAGCAATTCCAATTCCTCTTGTTTACTACACAGGCTCCTAACATTGGTGTATAGACAAATAAAGAATTTCTTCGGTTCACATCTCTTGGTACTTTGATTAATTTTGTTCTCAACATCATGGTTTGTTGTAACTGAGTGCTTACTTCTCCCTTTTCACCATCTCGTTTGTTGCTAGTTTAATGCCCTCCCTGTCAAGTCTAGCCAGCCTATAGTCTAGAAGAGTGGTCCCCATTCTATTGAGACAGAGGTTATGCAAAGTGAACAGTCCCCTCACCCCTACAGAAGGTGGACCAATGTTTCAACAAAACCTAATCCTTCTGCCATTTACCTAGCTATCGGTTTACTTCTAAAGTCTTCTGCCTTCTGTCTTCTTGTTCATAGCAAACGAAGGATTTCAGAGAAAATCACTAGAACATTCCTCTCCTTCAGTACCCTTCCGAGTTCCCTGAAGTCATCTAAGATCTGTGAGGTATCCCAGGAAACAGCATCATTAGTGCCTTATGCATCATTACCAGTGGATCTCTGCCTGCTGAGTTCAGAAGCCTATCCGGTCTTCAAGCCACATCTGGTGTCTTTGCTCCATGAAGATAGCACACCATCCTGTTTTCTGCCTGCTCCTTTGGAAAGGATGTTCTTCTTCTTCTTTGTACAGAATCCCCAAGGAGGATTTTCTGTCTTCCTTGGTTGGTTGATCTCCTCTTTGTGGGCACATTTGATTGTTTTGTGGGTTGGGCTGAACAGCCAACCACAGGTATGTCCTGTACAGCTCATTGTTTCATTTGACCAGCTGCATCTTCACAGATGATATCCTCAGTTTCCATGCTCATAGACTCATAGACTAAGGTCACAAGGGACCATTATGATCTTCTAGTCTGACCTCCTGCACAACGCAGGCCACAGAGTCTCACCCACCCACTCCTGTAACAAACCCCTGACCTATGTCTGAGCTACTGAAGTCCTCAACTTGTGGTTTAAAGACGTCAACATGATTATTATTAGATTCTTCTACTTATGTGGAACTCCTCCTGGACTGATTCTATCTGGTGGTCATGGCCTGCCCCTCCTCTCCTGCCTCCAGCCATGTAGAATGCACCTGAACTTCTTGCCTCTGATGGTTACAAACGGTCTGGTCTCCTCTCCGGTTCCCAATCTCCTTCAGTGACCAATTTCTTCCTTTCTTGAATCTGGGGTGGCAATGCTTCCTGAATCTGGATGTCCAATAACTCCTCAGCCTCTCTCATATTCTGTGGTGTATGCGCTTGTCCTTCCAGACCACAAATATTTCCTTCCATAAAATTTTACAGGAACCAAACCATTCCTGTCCTTTGGAGGACTTGTTCTGGATTTGAACTTGGGACCTCTCACACAAGTAAAAGTCATACCGCTAGACCAACACACATGAAGATGCAGTCCCCCTTGCACTCAAGATTTTACAATCTAAGCTGGCAAGTAATGAATGAAGGTAGAGGGATAAAATACAACATACATACATGTCATCTTAAATTTAAATGATATATACACACAGAAATAAAGAAAATAAGTATCAACTATGGAGAAGGGAACTGAATAATCTTACATGAGAGATGTGGTCTAATGGGCTGAATACTCCCCAATTCTAATCTTAGTTTTGACAATACTTCTGTCACCTTGGCCAAGTCACAACCTTCTCTGCCACAGTTTCCTCATCCATAAAATGAAGATGGTATTGACCTTCCTCCCAGCTGTGAGAAATAGTAAGGACTTGCTTACATGGGGAAACAGATACAGAATAAGCTATTATACAATAGCTATACTGGAATAGCGCCCCACATGCATGTTATATTTTGGAATAAAAGTCACTTTTATTCTAGAATAGAGTCATAAAATGTAAGGCCAGAAGGAACCACCAGATCATCTAGTCTGATATATCCTGTATATCACAAGTCACCAACACTACCTGCACACTAAGCCCGTCAAGCAAAATTAGAACAAAGTATTACAGACCACAGGAGATTTGACTATTATGTTCCACAGGAAAAGAATAAGAGGGATTGAGGGGCACCACTGCTCAAGGCCCCTGCAAAGAGTGTCTACAGGGTGAGCAAAACAGCTTATTCCAGAATAACTATTTCAGTCAATTTCCCTGTGTAGACAAGTCCTAAGACTTATAACATGCTGTGAAGAGGAAAAGCTCTGTGGGAACCCGGTTCACTTTTTAATGGAAAGGACTATTTTGATTAAGGCAGCAAATATAGTATTCCAACCCTAAAAATAATTTCTACACCTACCTCAGGCCAAACATCCTCCACTTCTAGCAGCCATTTTGCAGCAAAATAGACAACAATGCAAGAACAGGCCCCCTAGAAAATAAACATTGCCGCTGCCAGAGAGAAATTCAAAGCAGTGTAATTTGGCAGATCAGGGGACACATTTTAAGAGTTCCTTTATACTTCATTATCCAAGCACTGAACTAGTGTTTGAGCCAGTTAGGGGTATGATCTTGTAATGCAACACCTTCTGCTATCTTCTTGATAGGAGGAGGGTGCTCCGGCAGGAATCCAATCTTCCCTTTACAGAGTTCCTATTAAAAGAGGCCACCAGCTGTTTGTTTGTTCTTAAGAAAAAATAAAAAAACTCAACAATTATGCTTGTGAAATAAGTTTGATTTTCTATCATTGCTGAGACACTCACTTGCTATCCAGCATTTAAAGGTGAGATAGCCCAACATGCCAGAGCAGAACTAATACAACGCGGTGTGGTGCCTGGGGGGGGGGAAGGCTCTGTTTGCAATAAAGTACATGAAACTACATCAGAGTCTGCTTTTCCAGGTTCCATCTACAACTCTACAAGGTAGTACTCACTGCTAGCAGAGACTTAATACTTTCATCATGGAGTTCACATTCCATAGAAGCCGAACCATTCTAGACCTAGAATCCTTCTTTCCAAAATGTTTGCTTTTTGTACACCTAATTTGCACGTGCAGCTACTGCAGCTGTATGTTCAAGTGACTGGTTTAGACAGATGTACTAGTTAGGCACATAACTAAATATCTAAGCGCAGTAATACTTGAGAGTTCAAGCACAGAAATTCTGTGCACTTTTGACAATAAGAACCAGAATGATCAAATCTGGTTAGTTATTCAGTAAGCAAATAAAATTCCACATCTCTTCCAACTGTAACACAAACACCTGAAAAACCAGAACTGGACCAGACTACTGTGGCAAGAATTGTTCAATATCTTCACTAATAATCACCAATTATACAACAAACAAGCCAGGTGCTCCAGACTGCTTGCCAAATGAAGTACCTAGCAATTTCCTGATTCTGCAGTCATCTGAACAACATTCCATACGAAACTGATGACCTGCACTTTCCAGCAGAGAAGGGGTTAAATCCCTGGTGTCAGCTGCCAGCAGATCCAAAGATCTGCCAGGATTGCTTCAGGAAAGCCTGACTCAGAAGCGATAAGACTGTGCAAGACTCTTACACAAGAACAGTAAATAACAGTTCTGCCAAGCACAGAATTACTCGGGGGCTCTGCTGTACTGTAAATGTAGGTCTTTCAGATAGGTTTGCAATATCTAGCATGGAGTATAAACTGCTGAGTCTAAACTGGTCTGTGTGCTCACTAGGCTTAATCACTGGTTTGAATAATCCATCCTCCTTCATCATTATGTAAAAGTTTTACCTGTAATGCGGTGATATTCAGCCCTCCGTGCTTCAGGAGCCAAATCAACAATGAACATTACCCAAAAGAGCCATAGTAGTATGAATTCGTTGTTTCATTTACTGTCGTACTATATATAAACAGTAGGACAGGGGACATAGTGAGACTATATAATTCTCACAGCAAAATGACTGAACAGGTATTATTTTATCAACTAAAATTGGTTAATAACATAGTAAAGGCATCCTGATTGATTAATAACTTAGACTGGTTAATAATCAAATCACACAATTTTAATATCATGTACTGCAAAAAGCCCCAGGAGACACATTAAAGAGCCACTTGCGGCTCACGAGCCTCCATCGGAGGATCACTGCTGTAACGTGTTCTCTTTGCTCTATAACCAATACACTTTCAGTGAAGGACACAATGTAAGAAGCTGAACGGATTGTATTAGACCTATTTAATTCCTCGGTATCAGAATTTGGGGATTCAACCACTTACAGAAATGTGAAGCCCATGACAGAAGAAGACTGAGCAATATCACACAATTATAGGAGAGTAGGTGTACTGCTACAGATATTGGTTTAGCTAATGCTAAGATTCATGCAGAACACAAACCCACACTTCAACATAGATGGAGTCGCAAATGTATACTTAACCACCTTTCTAAACTGATCATACTAGCAGCCGAAATAATTTCTTTTACTGTAGCTTTCGCCTTGTTACAAGCAGGGCCGGCTCTGGCTTTTTTGCTGCCCAAGGCAAAAAAGCCTCCGGCCGCCCCCGGCCCCCCCAGCGGGAAGCGTGGCAGGGGAGGGCGGCGAGCCCGGCCGTGGCCCTGTTCTCCCCGGCCGGCCGGAGTGCTGGGGGGAGGGCGGCGAGCCCGGCCACGGCCCCGCTCTCCCTGACCAGCCGGAGCGCCGGGAGGAGGGCGGCCTCGCTCTCCACGGCTGGCCGGATCGCAGGGGGTAGGGTGGCGAGCCCGGTCGCGGCCCCGCTCTCCCCGGCCGGCTGGAGCGCCACCCCCCTCCAGGTGCCACCCCAAGCATGTGCTTGCTCGGCTGGTGCGTGGAGCCGGCCCTGGTTACAAGTAACCTACAAGGGTCAGACTTTATGTTTGGGTGGGGAAGGGGAAATGGTGGGGGGGGAAAAATCAGATATAATTTACCACATTGTGAGCTTCATCGAGTATTACCACAGTCCCTTTCAGATCTAAGTTGTGTGCTCTCCGGCTCTAAAAGCAAAAACAAAGGGGACATGGGTGAGACAGCAACACGTCCTTTGGACACAGCTTGGTGACCTGGACCATGAGAGAGTTTGGATGGGATATCATTCACTATGGAATGTGGCAAGCAGAACAGTTCTAGCTGCTTACACTGCAACATAGTCTCTTGAAATGGAGAGAATAAAAGTGTCCTCTAGAGGTAAGAACAAGGCCATACACCTGTGCTGAAAGTCAGAGGACATCATGGGTCCATCTTGTGTATAATAGTCTGTCTTGTGAAGGAGTGGGATTAGGGGCCAAAAGGTTAAATTGAGAGGCACTCACATGCCTAAGAAAGAAGATAACACTAATACCTTAAGGGATGCATTAATTTATTATAATTCATTCTAATTTCTCTTTTTGTCGTATTTTCTACATATATTTTTTGTCATCTTTGACAAAAGAGAACACACCCACAGTATTATGTGCAGTACAATTATAAAGTTCAGTCAATTCATTTCCTAATACCCTCTTCATCTTTAGCTCACTTTGATACCCTGACAGCCTACAGATCAGCCTGCTCTGTTTAGCACTGGTGAGGCCTCACCCGGAGTACTGTGTCCAGTTCTGGACATCTACCCTTCGGAAAGATGCGGAGAAACTGGAGAGAGTCTAGAGGAATGCTAGGAAAATGATAAAAGCTTTAGGAAATCTGACCTGCGAGGAAAGCTTAAAAAACTGGGCATGTTTAGTTTTGAGAAAAGATGATCGATGGGGGACCTGATAACACTCTCCAAATATGGTAAGGGCTCTTACAAAGAGGATGGGGATAAATTGTTCTCAGTGTCCACTGAAGATAGGACAAGAAATAATGGGCTTAATCTGCAGCAACGGAGATTTAGGTTAGATATTAGGAAAAACTTTCTAACTATAAGAATAGTTATGCACTGGAATAGGTTACACCAAGGAAGGTTGTGGAATTATTGTCATCATTGAAGGCTTTCAATAATAGGTTAGACAAACACCTCTCAGGGATGGTCTAGGTTTCCTTAGTCCTGCTTTAGCACAGGGAGCTGTACCTGATGATCACTTGAGGTCCCTTCTACCCCTGGATTTCTATGAAGGCACTACATAGAATGTCTGTTGGTTACTTCTTATTGAACAGAGCATCTTGCAGGAAGCACAAGACATCAGCGCTCTGGGATCTGCATTGGCAGCCCACTGATCTCTAAGTTGAGTTGAAGATGGAATGGCCTGGGAACTGCCTACCTGAAAGACTGCCTCTCTTTTTGCTCCAGACTGTAACAACTGCAGTCAGCAGAGGTGTCTCAAGCTGGATTCCCAACATTATAAAGAGAGGAGACAACTGGCAGGGCATTCTCTGGGAGGGCCCTGGAACTCTAGAAATTGCTTTCTAGCTTGATCTGAAATTGCCCAAGTTTGGTGACCTTCTGGTCATGCTGCAAAAGACATCTATTCAACAGGATTTTTAAAGACGACTGAAGGTATGCGTCCTGGGCCAAAAGAGGGGTGGAAAGGAGCTGTTTTTGAGATGACTGCCAGATCGTATAACGTTGCTGAGGATATGTCGTAATATTAATTGAATGTTAGGGCACCTAAAGCCTTCCACAGGTGTCTTTTTAAATATTTAAATGTAAACAAACATCACTTTTCATACTGCATGTAAATAGCACAGATTGGTCTCTTTTACCATCATGGAGGTAACTCTTCAAAAGATACTTATTTCAAGGCATGCCACAAGTGGCAAAAAGACTGTCAGGATATAATTTAGTTTTCATTATGAACATAAGAATGGCCATACTGGGTCAGACCAAAGGTCCATCAAGCCCAGTATCCTGTCCTCTGACAGTGGTTTATTGTAAGACCAACACAAACAACATAAGGGAATTGTGCCCTGCAGGGTGAATTCCACTGACTGAATGATATTGAGCTCCTGTTAAAACCAAAAAACCCATGCTCCTTAATTGTAGGGGAGAAGGAAATTCAAAGAGCAAGATGTGCAAGTGAATCATCTTTAAAGTTCTTGATTTGAATTAGGTTATGAAGTTTTGCCTCATGTACTCTGTGCAGTGTTTTAGCTAGTTTTGAAGTGTACCACCTCAGGAGTTTGTTTGCTATGCACATTCTTTTTGGCATATCCACTAAAAACTGATAAAAAAAGATCAATAAAAAACATTTGAATTTAAAAATAAAAACGTTACCTTTGAGTCTAGTAAATAGTTGTAAGGCATAAAAATAATATCTGCTTGCTGCTTCAGGCTCCGAGATAGATAATAAGGACAAACTCTAGTTAAAAAAAAAAAAAAAAGTATGAACTATAAAATAATATCCACAGAGAGACTAAAGTGCACTCTGCCTTCATTTATTATGTTTCAGGCTCTCAAAGGTTTCTAAACAGCTTTTTAATGACTGGAACATTAGATCTCAAGGCAGATGCCTCGCTTTATCCATGTGGGCCCTTCTTATTTATACTTCAGTAAAAAGGAATGCCAGACTCAATACCTAACTGTGCAGTCCAGCAAAACACAGATCAAGATACCAAACAGGAGAAAAATGAGATGACTTAGTGGTTCAATGCACTAATCTTTCTCCCCTGAAGACCAGGATTCAATGCTGGATTAGATCATGAAATCTCTAGTGGCAAGAGATTTTGTGGACTCATCCACCTCATAAAACCACCATAGCACCTGCATAATCAGCAGTTCCTCCTCGGGTATGCCTGACTGATCAGTATCTGGTCTCTGCAGCAGATCAGGACTCAAATCCACCATCAGCTCTAGGAAGAGGCATTAAGGTCTCAGTGCAGAGATGGATTTCTTGAGAGTTCTTTGCACACGTCACTACTCGACTCTTGTCATTGCTGCTCATCTGGAACTTATAGGTGGGTCAAGTTCATACAAATGCATTCCCCAGAAAAAGGAGGACAGTGTGGAACTTTTACCTGTGCTTGTTTCCATTTTTAACCAGGTCTTCAATATCTAAGATGGAGTTGGTCAGTTCCTTCTCTGTACTCTTCTCTGTGAAGGAGAAACGAACAGTTACAGAAATCGAAGAAAATAATTACATAAACATAATCACATGTGGGGACTGTACTTCGCTCCACATTCATTGGATTCTATCAAAGTCTCTTATCTTGATTGCTTGGATTGAAACTAAGGCCTAAGGTTATTCTCTGTAGCTCCACCAGCATCGAGGGCTCCGGCTGTTATTTACTCCTCGATGCACAAGCTTCAGTTAAACACACATTAGCATTTGAAGATTTCAGTCAATTATTTTGTATTTTGTTCCATTCACTCCATGGAGAACTGTTTTATAAATAGTGTTTGATTTTTACCCTAATGTCCATATTGCAAGAAATAATCCTGCACTGGACCTCTTGGGATGGCCTAGCTGTAATCTAGCAGGTCCTTTTCCATCTTTAATTTCTATTATTCTATGAAACCTGGCCCTGCGGCTTCCAAATTCCAGGACAGGCTCCAAGAAACGTGATTTAACTCTTAATTACATTTTTCATAATAAGCCACAACATGTGTAGATGATAGTTTGTGAGCTAATACACATGTTGGTGCCATAATTTTTTTCAATGGTTTAGTCCTAAGCTAATTTCTAGTTTGCTCAGTTCCTGCAGCCCAAAATTCAATGACCCGAATGCCTTATAATTCACTCAGGCAAGAGG